CCACTCACCTCAGCCTCCCAAAGCGCGGGATTACAGGCTGAGCCACTGAGCCCAGCTTGGGCTGAGATAATTTCAAGGCTGCACTGTTGTCTTTGGCTCTTTCTACCCAGGCCTCCTTCCTTCTCTCCTGATGCAGGTATCAGACCCACATTGCTGTCTGAAAGCTGTCCCTGCCTGGTACTGCTCCCTGTGCCCGTTGTCCTTTCCCTTCTCCATCCAGTCTGGTCTTGGTGTCTGCTTTTCAGAGAACCCCCAAATTGATACGCTGTAAATTCTGTATTTAATGACTCATAAGTCTCCCAGAGCCAAGACCCTGGCAGTTTAACAGATGTTTGAGGACACATGGCTGTAAACTCAAGAAGAAATATATGACATGCTATAAAATATAAGGAATAGTTGGATTCCTGGAGGAAAATACCACCAACACTTACTTTGACCCGAACTGGAAAGAGCATAAAACCGACCCATTTACACATCTGAACAGTGAAGTCAGGTTGTCACGTTTTGAGTTGGGGTGCATTTTTACAAAGATGAGCAGTGGTGCAAAGACTCAGAAAGGAATCATGAAAAGAAGGGAGGAGAAAGGAGAAAGAAAGAATTTGAAGGTGAGAAAGCACATGATCCAGTGTCTTCTTCGGGGTTCCAAGGCCACTCAGAAGGGAAGAAAGTCTACCAGGACTGGGTTGTTCTCAGATAACTTTTATTGTCTCATTTTTATAAGATTTGCAGACGTCTGCCAGTGGCTGATACGAAATGCTGATTGAGAAAGGGTTTATCTACTTTTCATCCAAAATATGTGAACCATTAAGGAAATTATAAAAAGCAGCAACAATATACTCTGGTTTTATTCAGAACCTCTCCCTTAGTGATTATTAAAAGGGTGATATTTTTAGCCAAAGAAAGCAAAATGCATCTGCAGCAGCTGGTTTCCAAGGAGACAGAATAATTTAAAACCATGTGGAACTCTGCTCTCTAATTTTCATCAATTTCCCTTCATTCCTGGAGGTAGCTTTACTCAGAATTTATAATTTCTAAAAAATATAGCTGCATCGACTTGTTTTCTCTGACACATTTCAGGAGATGAATATCTGGTCTTACATATCACCTTAAATTCCAGTATGGAGGCTGGATTAGTTTCAACCATCATTTGGCTTGGCAAAAACCAAAAAGAAAAAAAAATCCACCAATCATTAGAAACATGGCAAAATTTCAGTCTTATGTAATAAATTTTGAAATCTAGAAATAGTTCAGAATAAACTATGCATGAGTATTGTTTGGGTCAGTATGATACTTATGCATGTAAACATGTTATTAACTATATTTAGTACACTTAAGAAATTTAAGGTAATTATTTATTCATTTGAATAATTTATACCCAATATTCAGCAGTTTTTCTTTCTCACTTATTTTAATTTTGCAAGAACTATTATGTTTGTTTATTAAATGACAAAATTTATCTTTCAAACAAAAACAAAACTACAATAAATTAAAAAATGTGAAAACAAAAAGCAAAAACAAGTTCAAAAATTCTTAGAAATTAAGTAGTCATTCTTAGTAGTTTTGATTCATTCAAAAAATATTACAAATATATATGAATAAATTATTTACATCATGAAAAACTTTTATTGTTAAATCAACAGGTATTAATTGATTGTCAGTGTGTCCCAGTCAATTATATATCTTAGCAGTTCAATTTTAATAAGATTCCCTCAATCTTAAATGACCTATATTTATGAATTAAAATAACTGTAGAATTAAATAAGTTGGAGCAAAATCATTTTTATTTTATATGTTTGTACTAAAAATGTATTATCCTACATATTTAGAACTCATCCCTATTTTCTCTAAATGAAAAAAAGGCAATATTAAAAGACATAAGCAACTAGTAAATTAAAATCTCAACTTTAGAATACTAAAAAATATTGTCTTGGAGATATATCAGCAATATAAATGCTCTGATGGAATTCTTGTCTAGATATACTTGATTGATAAATGAAATAAATAATGAAAAATGCCTGTTAAAATGCTATTTTTTACAGTAATGTTTAATGCTTCAAAATTAGGCTTCTGAGTTTTTAAAATAAAAACGGCTTCATATAAGTTGATAAATACAGATAGATTACTACTTAATTATCACATAAGCTTAAAATTTACTGAATAAAAGAATACAGCTACTTAGCATAAGCAGAGTAAGTAAATAAAAGGACTTAAATGCACACAAATCATTCATTCTAAATTAGTGCTAAAAGAGAATACAAAATGATTCTGCAAAAATGATTTTCCCAAGCAATTTACCGTATTGTAAATATTAAAAGACACCACCTAAAATTTTATATTCAGAGAAGGCTCCATTTTCTCAAAACCTGTGGAATTCACTGAGCTTTTCTCATCCTTCCGGTGAATCCTAATAACATAAGCTTCCATAAACATTTTTAAAAGACACATAATGGCTCATTTGACCTATTAATTTTGCTTTAATAACACTTGCTTAGAAAGTTATTTAGGATAAGACATGCCTTTGGTGTTTTTATTTTATTTTATTTTTATTTTCACAAGCTTAGGGTTTTGCAAGGAGAAAGAGCAGCTCATTGCAAAGCTTCCTCAAGTAAAGAAAGAAGCACACTTTCAGAAAATGTCCACAGAATCATTTTCATATTACACAATCCTTTCAATAAAATTTTGAGAAGCATTCTTTTTTAAAGAAAGCATAATTTCTTATTTTTTCTTTTTTGCTCTTACCTGTAAATATGGTTTCTGTACTTCGGCTCCGTCAGAACACACTGAAGAGAGTTCACTCCTCCCTCCTTCATCCATCAGGCGGCAGCCAACCAATAACAAAAGCCAGATCCTGGCATTCTCTAGCTCATGCTCCCTGCTTTGCTTCCATTCCTTGTTCCCTCCCACTCCCACTCTTTCAGAAGACAAATCCCTGCAGCTGGGAGAGAGGAAGGGAGTGGAGAAAAGAAATATGGAGAAGAAAGCAGAAATGCAAGATATTTCAAAGGATAGCTCCAAACTGTGGAAAATGTCTGCAGGTGACCTCAGCTGACGTGAAATGTCTTTCTTTGGATATACAAAAGTAGAGTTAATCAATGCCTCACCCACCTTAAATCAAAGCAAACATTCATGGTCAACCCTAGGTAAATTGCCGATTTTTTTTCAGCTCCCCTCAGTGAAAAAAATGTACTCCCTCCCATACATTTTGAAATGTAGTCAGAGGAAGGAGACTGAACATCAAGATGACATTATGCAAAATTCATTTTGCAAAAAGAGAAAATGAAAATAAATCAGCAACCTTTACATTGATGTTTTATACTGTTTGCACTATAATCTCTGTTTGGCAATGTTTCAATCCAAAACCAGTTTCAGGACTTAATCAATGTGAAAAATATATTTCATCCTGAGTATTAGAATATTAGACTGTTTCAAAGTTATGTGGTTTGCATTATTTCAAATTCCTTAAATGCCAGCCTCAATTTGTGAATAATGGAACTTGTTAAAGATTAAAACGGGATCAGTTACTTGGTTGCCATGTCTCAGTGACTAATTGAACTCCAATTTTATTCTAATAACCCTGGGCAAAATCATTTCACTTCTGAACTAAGAGGCAAAACATGTATAAAAGGACAATTGAGGAAAATATCAAATTAGGATTCTTTAAGGCAACAAAGCAAATTCATCCACGACTTCAAAGAGGTTGATTTTTGAAAAACTCTAATACAAACCAAGTCTCTTTATGATAAAAATGCTATAATTGAGCTTTCTCCAGTGGAGGAGGTCTGAAAAGTATCTTTGGGGAGACAGAAATTAAACAATGGATGCTATCTCCACTACAGAGGTATGTGCTGTCTACTTGAGATACATATAGGCTTTGCAATTCTATTTCTTAAAACAGTAATGTGCCCTGTGGGAATAAGAGCAAAGGAAGAAAAAGGAGAGAGAGGTGACAGCAGGTATAAGAACAAATCATTGACAGTCCAGGAAGAACTGTACAGGAGGGTCTTAGGGTGTCAATCTTGTTAGGAGGGGAGTGGCTACTGATAACTGACAGTCTAGAAGTGCACAGATTTTACTGAGTTTGCTTTTATTTGGAGTAGCTTTGGGAGGCTGTGCTGGAGATTACAGGGGAATTTAAACTATCTCTTATGTCTACCTTTCCCCTGCCTCCCCAACCCAAAACCCCCACCCACCCTGTTTCACCCGCAGGGTTTTCTCTTAGGGAAGTGTCTCTGAGGTCCTAAAGCTGGGAATACCTGCAGAAATCCCTAGGACAGAGAGCATTTCTTGAAGTGGTTGTTGGGGGTAATCTTCATCAGAATCATTGGAGAAAGACATTAAAAATGCAGATTCATGGGCCTCCCTTCAGACTTAATGAATAATCATTTGAGGGGTTTATGACTCAGCATTTTCAGCAAGCTCCAGTGGGTAACTTTAATGCTCACTATACTGTTGACACACAAACTGTAACCAGATTTCTTCCATTTAGACGATGGTAGCATTATCTCAGATAGAAGAAGAGTTTTGGTAGCAAAATAACACATTTAGTTTGGACGTCTTGAATTTTTTAATATCCAGATTGAAATATGATGTATGTAACCGTCTGCAAGTTTGGTCACTCGATGCCCAAAGCCAGAGATGAGAGATAGTGGAAGGAAAGTGCCTTTATTCCAAAAACCCGCTGAGGGGGAAATTGTCCGGCTCACAATTCAAACAGACCATTTCAACTTTTGGGCTGCGCGCAGGGTCTTAAAAAGGAAACTATAGGAGTGACAATGGGTGCTGGTCTGCCTACGTGACTTATTTCCATGGTTATCTGAGTTATTGCCCCATCTTTGGCCTAGGCCGGCGCTCTCTTGGCATAGATTTACCGCAGCCAGAAGGTAGGCGCAAAGTGGGGAGGAAACACACTGCCGTTTGCTCCAAGATTAGCCCCAGAACCTGAAGCAAGCACGTAATTAGAAAGTGAACAAAATGCAAGGGAGTGTCAGGCAGGAAATGGGAGGGAAGGTAGAAAGAGAGTAGGAAAAAACTTCTAAAATCCATTTTGGTTGAGATTTTCTTTGTTACAACTAGTCAGTTAAACTCATGGAGAGAGCTGGATGTAGGTCTAACTTGGAAAGCTCCAGCATCTAAAATGTTGTTAAAACAATGAGAATGGTGCCAGGCTCGGTGGCTCAACCTGTAATCCCGCGCCTTTGGGAGGCTGAGGTGAGTGGATTGCCTGAGCCCGCGGGTTCGAGACCCGCCTGGGCAGCGAGACCTCATCTCTACAATAAATCAAAAAAATTAGCCGGGCGTGGTAGCGCGCGCCTGTAGCTCCAGCTACTCGAAAGGCTGAAGCGGAAGGATCGCCGGAGCCCAGCTGGTCGAGGCTGCGGTGGCCGGGAGCGGCCACGGCACTCCAGTGTGGGCGACAGAGTGAGACTCCAACTCAAAAAAAAAAAAGAGAATGAATGAGTGCCCTAAGAGGTTAATATCCAAGCTTTATCAATAACTCATACAACTCAATACGGGAAAAACAAATAACCCAGTTAAAAATGGACAAAACATCTGAATAGACATGTCTCCAAAGAAAACATAAAAATGACCAACAGGTATATGAAAAATTGTTCAACATCATTAAATCATCAGGGCAATGTAAATCAAAGCCACTATGAGACACCACTTCATAACTCTTAGGATGGCTACTATTATCAAAAAGTTTAAAGATAAGTGTTGACTGGGTGTGGTAGTTCATGCCTGTAATTCCAGTACTTCGAGAGGTCAAGGTGGGAGGTTTAGTTGGAATCAGGAATTTGAGAGCAGCCTGGGCAACATAATAAGACCTTATCTTTACAAAAAAAATTTTTAAAAACAGATAAATGTGTTAAGAGTGTGGAGAAAAGGGAACTCTTGTATGCCACTGGTGAAAATGTAGATTGATACCATACTATGAAAACCAGTAAGAAGGTATCTAAAGAAACTAAAAGTAGAATTACCACATGACCCAGGAATTTTTCTTTTAAGCATATACTCAGAAGGAAATGAAATCACTACCTTGTGAAGATATCTGCATTTCCATGTTCAGTGCAGCATTAGTCACAATAATCAAGATATGAAAACAACCTAAGTGATCATCAATGAACAAATGAATAAACAATGGCATATTTAAACAATGAAATGTATATAGCCTGAAAGAAGAACAAGATCTTGCCATTTGCCACAATACGGATAAGCCTGAAAGACATCATGGTAAGTGAAATAAACCAGACATAGAAAGAAAAATATTGCATGATCTCACATGTATGTAGAATCTTTATATATATGCATATATATTATATTTAATCTTAGAGAACAAAACAGTGTTTACCAGGGATAGGGTCATAAGGAGGCCAGAGGATACAAAGAAACAAATATGTAAGATGAACAATTTTAGAGATCTAATGTACAGAATGAGGGCTATAAGTAGTAAAAATGTACTGTATATGGGATTTATGCTAAATGAGTAGATTTTAGCCACTCTTGCCACAAAAACAAAAGATAACTACATGATATGATTCATTTGCTTCACTATAGTGACGTATTTACTACCTATATGTATCCCATAACATCATGCTGCGTACCTTAATTTGAACACAATAAAAATTATTTTTTTAAAAAACTACCTTTATCAGAATGAAAAATAGGGATTCCATCCCATACCTATTGAATCAGAATCTCTGGAATAGGGTTTAGGGAGCTCCATTTTTATTCCACTTTCCAGCTAACTTGCTTTGAACCCTAAAGTTTGAGAATTATCACTCTAGGAAGAAGGGAAGTCGGTTGAGAATGATATTCTGAGAATTTACTTACCTTTAATAGCAAACAGAAAGTAGAATGAAGAAAATATACTTAGGAGGAACAGTTAGCGAGGAGGAGACCCAGGAAACAGTGGTGTAACAAAGCCCAAAAGAGTAGAGAATTTCATGATGGTGCCCTGTCAAAGGCCATGATGAGGTCTGGTGCCTTTGCTTCTCAAAGTGTAGACCACTGATACCAGCTTAATCATCCTAATGCAGACTTGCAGGCCCCTCTCCTGTAAAGTGAATGACAATCTGCACTGTAACAACCAGGGAGTCACATACATATTTACGTTTGAGAAGCACTGTAGCCACCCACGGAACTTGACTTTCAGTTATTGGTGAACCGAAAGTGAGCAGTTTCAGTGGAGTTGTTGGGGCACTGGGGGCAGATGGCAGTCATAAAAATGAATGGGAAATAAAGAGAGGGAGACAGGTTAGTGTAGATACTTGGAAGAAGGGCCTTCTAGCAAGCACATTGATCACCAGGCCGTCTCTTTAATTCAGAGAAACTTAACAGGAGCAGAGGCAGTAAGATCTCTCTTAGACTACTCATCTGGCAGATGTGACATGATGGGCGTATCATAGGCTGATATTGATAGAGGAAGATGCTGTCCTAAGAGGCAGTGACAGTTGGGCCCTCAACGGCCATGCTGCCTTGTTTACCTGAAGAAAAGGTGACAGATTTTCTGAGAGTGTGTCTGGTGTCTTTAAAAACATTTCATGACAAGGAAAATATTACAACATCTCTAAAGGTTAAATACCATAGTTAACTAATAAAATATTTTTTTTAAGCTGGAAAATGGAAATAACCCAAAACATGCAAAAACTTCCAATCTTCAAGAAAGTCCCAAATTAGAGCAGGTTGTAATAGGAAGGGATTTCAATATTTTATGTATTAGCTGGGTGAAAGTTCCTCCATTAAACTGTAGAGGTAAAGCTTTAGGATAATCTAAATGACCACTAAGGAAATAGATGAGACTTGGCACAAAACAAACAATTAAATATAATTTTT